TTGGGCACGAGTTTTCCATTGTTGCTTACTATATGCATTACATGCAGAGTTTTTATATAAAGACTCGCATGCTGTTGTGGCTTTTGCCTGCTTTTCAACGCCTCCAAACAGCGGGTGCTGACGACGGTGGTGCCGTGCCTCATGAGTTTCAAATTTCCGGTTTGCTGTTGTAGCAATCGACAGACAAGCCAAACAAATTAAAAGTGATTTTTCTATGCTTTTGTGTGGTTTCATTCATTAACATACTTAATTTTATTTATTTGTTTTTGTTTTATTTTTCATTTAATTTGAATGTTAATAGTTACAAAACGTTGAAGCCACTGCTTCGATTAAATGAGGTGGGCAAACGAAAACAGAAAAACTTTTCAAATAAATTAAACTAGAACTAATAGATAAATGGTAACAAATTGTAGTATCATTTAGTTGTCGCTGTTGCTTTTCTATACCTCATTTTTGGTAGCAACTAAAGTGCTAGCGAAACACATGTTTTTCGGCGTTTAATGATTGCCATTGGCGGCGACAAAGATTTGTGTGTTTTCCGATTTTTTGTTGTTGTTTTTTTTTGCTGAAGTCTATGGAAATTTATTGCAATTAAGATATATTTCGCTGTGAGTTATGGCCTAAAACGTGGGCAGGTAAGATTTGTGATTGGAATAAGTGAAAGTACGGAAGAAAAAGGTTGCAAGAATTAACATGTATAAAATCCATATGATTTTTCATTTGAAACTAAAACCAAGCCACGCTTTCATTAAAACCAGCAATCTATGTACAAACCGCTCATTTCAAATTTACACGGTCAACGAGCAGATTGGTCTCTCAACGCATCGCTGGCCGAAGCCTTTTGCCTAATTCATGCAAAGCCTGTGCAGAAAAGTGCTCCGCTGTCTCATCCTCTTCAAGGAAGCCTCCCTAACAAATGCTTACAATCACACATAATGCGCTGAGACGTCTCATCCTATTCAAGGCAATGGTGGTTTCAGCTCATTGGCGGTCTAGTTAGCTTCAGTCTCACAATGTCGTGCTACCTATAAGTGTTTCTCGCTGCCAGAAGTTGAAGTGTGTCAATGCACTCCTTGAAGAGCATGGATGTGATCGTCCTATAGGATGGATCCCTTATGACCAGTCAGTATTTCCACAAGTCGTCTGTGGTCCCGCTAAAGGAAATAAATACGAGTACCTAGAGAGTAGCTAGATCTTCTGGGATTGAGGACAACATGAGTTCAGCCTACCTACAGCCCTAGAAGCCATTGCTAAGCGAAATATTCATCGAGCTTCTGGCGATGGCTTCAGTGTCCGAAGCTGCGAGTGCTAAAAGTGATTCTTAAGGCAAATGGTTAAACCAAACTAGACTAAGCATGACGAACAAGCGAACAACTAAAATTTTGGTTTTATTCCAGCTGCTACTATGCAAGCTAGTAAGCTTAAGTTAAAAAGATGTTCCGACAGATCTTAACTCCCAAACCAGAATTCATCTTACAAAATAATCTTAAGAGGTTCTGGAAAGCAAAACCTTCTCCTAATTCCATGGTTTCTGAAGTTTCATCAAAAAGATGATCCTTTTAAACAAGTAACGATAAGCAGAGTATGTATTATCTAATATGAAAAATATGTAAATATATCTGAAAACCTTAAAGTGCTAAAATTTCTGTCCTGTATCTTTAGTTCACTTGTCTACATCGGTAATATTTTAGAAAACGGTTAAATAATTATGCTTTAACAGGACATTCATACGATTTTCATAACAAATATTTGTATTTAATATTAAAAATTATGTCCATTTGATTTCATATACGAATATACATACATAAATATGTATGTATGTTGATATGTACGTATAGGTAAATAAAAACATATTAATAAAAAGTTCCCTGCATACCGGATACTTACTGAAAGTTCGCCGATACTCTGCTGAACTAATTAAGTTTTTACAAAGAAAAGCAACAATTAATAATTTTATATATACGTACATATACATTAGAGAAATATGGTATTGTTTGAATGTATTCAATAAGTAGTTCATATTAAATATTTTCCCATAAAAAATTAGCATAAGCGTATTACTACCATATTGCTTCCTTTTCAACTAGAATTTCTAGTTTCAACTGCAAAAGCGAAATATTTATGTGCGCAAATATGTACATACATACAAATGTGTATCCTTACCCTGTAGTCAAATGTACTAGTAGTAAACTACCTCACAACTAGTATGAACCGCATGCCCAACTAGTCAGCCAACTATCTTTTTTCCATGCAACCAACTGGTACTTTTAACGTGGGGATGTCCTACAAGATGGCAATTGTCAGATTTCGGTCAGAAACATACCAGTCTCATACTAGTTCAAAATAGACAGAAAAATACTAGTCCAATTACGGACCAAAACCACTACTTTGGGAGTCAAAAAATAAAATGAATTCAGGAATATACAATAAAAAGCTTTTGATTAAGTTCGCTTAAACATATTACAGATCTTTATTTATCAGCCTTAGATTAGCCAATAAATAGTCTTAAATTTTTTGAGTATTAATTAAAAGGAAAAATAAATACACAAATATTTAAAACTTTCGAGCATAAATTTAAATGAATTTTTAATTAAATGTTATTAAAAGTAAAATCTGCCAGGTACAATAAATACTATATTTTTTATCTTGTTTACTAATATTAAATACGCAAAAAGTTGTTTGCTCTGCCCACCGCCGTAATTTTACGCGTTCCTTTCCCACTCTGTCTCACTGAGAGCGCAACAAAAATGTGCTGAACACACTTTGTTCGAATCAAACTGATTTTGATTTTCTGTCCGAACGAAAACTTTTTTTCGCGACCCGGTCTATTGTATGTACATGCATAAATACGCATTTATATTGTTCTGCAGGGTGTACCCGCCCTCTATTTACAAACAATGTGTGTTTACATTTGTACTGTTGCTGAAGTAATGCAAATTTTATTTACTAACAATAATAAATGTTTAATTAAAAATCGTATGCAAAAAATAATTGCAAATCAATTAAAATCAATAATAAGAATTAGATTATGTGGCGAAAAGCAAATAAAATGAAAGGAATGTAGACATGCAAGCATACGAGTATACATATATGTAAGTGTGTCCATGGTAGTAAATATTTAATAATCGTGCTTATACCGGAAATGAATAAAACTTTACACAGATGCGATGTCATTAAAAAAGATACCAAAGGAATTTCAGAATACAATAAAATAAGAGCGGTAATCTCTGCACAAAAATACATACTAAAGAGAGCTGAAAAAAAACACATATCCCTGCAGTATCAAGTTGAGGTGCGTTTATTAAAAAAAAAATATATATTTTCTTAAATAAATTTGTAATCGATTACAAGTGCGCTTACCTTTGGCAACGAAATTTTGTGCGCTAATTGGGCGTTTCCGTCTGCTTTTTCATTCACACAGCGATGTATGTATGTAGTAGC